CATATATAAGTACTTCATTCTTTCTATGGCCAAAAATTTCCATTAGGTGGATATATCACATTTTTGTTTATCAAGTCAACATTTGGGTTGCTTTGACCTTTTTGGTTAGAATGCATAATGCGTATGTATGTATATACTGTAGCCCAGTGCACGAAATTCGTGCACATTGAAATGGAATTAATTGGAGGAACGTAATTTGGACTCACTATCTAATATCAATAATATGTGAGCATGGGGCAGTCCGTGTTTCTGAAATTCAGTGACATGAAATTTAGCTATTACTTTGCCAAATAAATGGAATGTACAGATATAATTTAAAAGAGCACTCAGCTTAATAGTAAAATCTCTGGCTACCAAGTCAGGTCTGTTTTAACTTTTTGCCAGCGTTGTAAACTGTTTGCAATATCTGCCCATGTGGGGTTGCATGTCATGGTTATGAATAAATTGGGCTTGCCATAGTTTGTTACAATTGCCATAGCATCCTGATATCGCTGCTGCATATTTCTGGGACTACCCTCAGAAGATGATGGAAATATTATCATTTTACCAATCGGCACATTGTCATTTTCAGATCTAGATTTGAGATAATCCATCAAACCACCGTATTTTTTAACTCTCAACTTAGATTGGTTTGCTTTGATGAAATTTATCCGATTGGCCTCCATTTTTGAATATGAATTAATAATAAACTGTTGAGTTAATTTTCCTGCATTTAAAATAGGATTAAATGTGTCCCACACAGAGAGATGAAATCCATAATACTGCATTTGTGTGACTCCTTTCCTTACATTTTGTCTAGTATTATTGTCGATTACACTGTTGTCTCTGAGTCTGCAATATCTGTTCCCCACCCCTTTTCACCATGTGGAAAAAATAGGATATGTCATTGCATCTAATGTAGGAAACAGGATATTGATTTGTTTCATTTTAGTGACATTTGGATTATTGGGATCTGGTTTACAATGAATGAGCAAATCCCTTTCAAAAGGAGGTTCTCCATCTTTGTTTCTGAATATGATAGCAACCTTGGTTACACGGGGAGAATTGGAACTAACTGCTTTTCTCTTGCTGCTTTTAAGATTCTCTCTTTGTCTTTTGCCCTTGGCATTTTAATTATGATGTGTCTTGTGTGGTCCTCTTTGGATTTCTCTTGCACTTCCTGGACTTGTAAGACTATTTTTTTCACCAGGTTGGGGAAGCTTTCTGTCATTATTTCTTTAAATAGGTTTTAAATACCTTGCTCTCTCTCTTTTCCTGGCACCCCCATAATTCAGATGTTGGTATGCTTGAAGCTGTCCCAGAGGCTCCTTACACGGTCTTCATATTTTTTGGATTCTTTTTTCTTTTTGCTTTTCAGGATGAGTGTGTTTTGCTTCCTCCTATTTCAAATCTTTGACTTGATTCTTGGGATCCTCTAGTCTGCTGTTGGATCTCTGTATATTATTCTTTATTTCAGTCAGTGTATGCTTAATTTCTGACTGGTCCTTTTCCGTTTTTTTTGGCATTCTCATTAAGATCCTTGAAGGTCTCACTAAGTTCCCCAGAAGTTTCTAGAAGATTCTTAAGTAACATTATAACTGTGGTTTTGAACTCTATATCCAGTGTTTTGCTTTATTCCATTTCTTTCATTTGTGACTTGTTTCTTTGTCTGCGCATTTTGACTGCTTCCCTGTGTTGATAGAGTGGCTTTGTGTGGTAGGTGTCCTATAGGGCCCAGTGGCTCAGCCTCCCCAATCACCTGAGATGGACACTCTTGGTGCACCCCTTTGTGGGCTGGGTACACAGTCTTGTTGTAGTTAAGCTTTGATTGCTTTTGATATCCCTGAGAGGAAATGACCTCCAGGCCAATTGACTGCGAGGACCTGCTGTGTCTCTAATGGAAGAACTGCTGGGCTGAAGACACCCTTATCGGGCAGGACTTACTTCAGTGGGGCTTTGGTGCTCACTGAGTCTGCCTCTTGAGTCTGTCACTTATAGATGTGAGGAGTTGTAATCTGATATCTGACCACTGGGTATACTGGCTCCTGGATCTCCAAGGAGGTGCAAAATCAGCCACTGTGTGAGTCCACCCAGCAGGTGCTACAGCAAGATCTGCAGATTTCTCCTCTTTGTTTGGGGTTTGAAGTTTTGGAGCTCTCTGACCCAGCTGCAGTTTGTTAGGTTAGGCTGTGAAAGGACAGGCGATTCATTTGCACCGCTGCACACAGCTTGGGGGG